TGTACTGGCCGGTACACCGAAGTTCCGGCCGGTACACCGGATTTTGATCAAAATGTCTAAAATTTGACCGAAACGAAAATTGACGTTGTACTATTTTGGTCAAATACCAAAACTGGTACGGTCGGTACGGTACGATATTAACTTCATTGATTATTACCCTTACTAGTTCTTTTTTTTTTTTTTTTTTTTTTTTTGTCTTGCCAAACGCTTATTAGTGATTTTAGCATTACAAAAATCAGTCCAAAACTTTCTGAATCAAACCAATCAGAACTTTCGAAGTAGAAAATATCAACCGAGCAATAGACAACCAATGAACCAAACCAAACCAAATGGTAGATAAACCAATCCGAATATAAGGTTAAACAATGATAGTTAAAACTCATTAAGGACTTGTTATTTCCAGTGAAAATAATTCAATTCACCTTAAATAAAATATTGAATTCAACTTTTGTTAATAAAAAAATAAATGTTGAAACAGCTTTTTCCTTGTAAAATTTGACTTGATTCGATTTTAAATTATTTGAAATTTAATATAATTTCTAAATATCAAAAGTGAAGCTGATTTCACAAGGATCTAGTCAAGCAAAGCAGGTTAGAACTAGACACGTAGTCTGAGGCTGTGCCCGACAAATGAACTAGACTCAACATGTAGTAGTTAATTTTTATTTTTTTATTTTTTGTGCAAATCAGAATTTGTTAAAATAAGGGATTTAAGTTTTTTAAGATGAATTGTATATTAAAAATGCAGTCTATTTTATAAATTTAATTAAATATCTTTAATAAAATAATATAGGAAGTAATTTTATTAATGATATTTAAGTAAATTTATAGAACAAGTTATATTTTTAATGTATAATTTACCTTGAAAATACTTTTTTATTAAAATATATAATTAAGTTTTACAAAATATAGCCTGATATACAAACAATCATTTGCTCACTCTTAAAACAAGAAAAATAAGAAGAAGAAATGGTGTCAAAGATAATAAAAGCCTCCTCCATGACAACGCTATGAATGTGGCAATTAATTCATATCATACGGATACTCACAAGTTTGGTACATATGTACGTTTATTCATATGTAAGCCATCAATGCATGTTGATCGCCTCTGATAAGGCAACTTACATAAAATCAGTAAGTGAAGGTGATATATTATATTGAAGTCGGTAAATTTCTACTTAATTGGAAATATTTTTGTATTTTGATTCACGTATGACTCATACAAATCTTAATCATTTTCGTTTGTACCAAAAAGGATAGAAGAAACAAAGGTATACATCAAATATATGAATACTAATACCCAAACGATGTTTCAATAATTAAAATTTTAAATTTTTATATTAAAAATTTTAAGTTTAAATTCTGAAATAACTAAGAAAAAGTTTAAGAAAAAAAAGATTTTAAAAGAGAAATATTACTTTTTATTATATAATCCATTGTCTAACATATTAAAAAAAAAACCCAAAATGAGAAGTCTTGTTGTAAATCTAAAAATCTAACATTTTTACATTGCTTTGCATGTTCTTCCAGAAAAACAGATACTTGGAGCCTAATCTGCATTTACCACATCCTGTGCAAATATTTTAGTTAGTTTAACAATCCAAGAGTTAGAATTAACTTATACCAATATAATTAAGTGTTACACCAATTCTTAACCTGTCAGTAAAAAAATTTCAATAATTGATGAAACACCTGAATTTTCAAAACAATTATTTAAATTTTAACATATCTGGTTAAAAATTGGTGTAAGAGTGTACTGTAATCTCTACTTTTCTATAATAACGTCCATTCGACTAAATTGCAAGCAAAATTCGACAGATTGTACACATATATGGCTGTAAGAAAACCCACGGAGCAAGACAAAAAATGCAAGAAAATAAAGTTTACCTGGTTAAAGCTTCTATATATATATATATATATATATATGGATCTGAAGAACCAAAAAGCTAGGAGCAAGAGCAAGAAAATCATGGACGTGGCGTCGATAAACTTCCCACTTTTAACATTGCTTGCTCAAATGAGCATCTCAGAAACTGCAGATGCACCGGCCGCACAACAACAGAGTAAAAAGGAAACGGATGAGGGATTTCAAAGGCAGTAGTTTTTGGCGCGGGACAACAGATTTTGTATTGAAGCAGTAAAAGCAAGGTGCAAAAATAGTCGCACCCGACGAAAAATTTATAAATACAGACTCAGGCAGGTGCAGCTCTGCTGGGATTTGGAATACTCATTTGAGCAAGAAAAGTTACAAAGAGGAATTAGCTAACTTCTCTGTCTATTCCTTTAATTTCTCATGATTCGCTCTCTCTTACTGACCTTTGTCAAAAACCGGCGGCTAGACAACTATCTGCCTCCATGTATTTTGCTACAAATAGAAGCTCCACAAAACAGAGGCACCTAGCTAGCTACTTCCAGCTGCTGAATTTACCTAATTGCCCTTCTGCCTACTCACTCAGAAGTCCCTTTTCTCTCTGTTTTTATAAATGGAATTATAAAAAAAGAAAAAAGAAAAAAAAATCTATTTTCCAATTCAAATTGTACTAATATGTAAAACAAGAAATCTAAAATGAGAGACAAGCCCCTAATATTGAGAGCCTTTTTTCCATTAAAATGTTTTGTTTTACAATTTAGTATGATTATAAGAAACTCTAATTCTATATATATAGCTCTTTTTTTTTAATTGGTGTAAGAGATTTTTTTTTTTTCCTTTCCATTTTTCATGTACACATGCGTACGTGTTTTATGATTGTAGCTCTAAACTAGAATCCCCACATGGTATGTTACGCCTAGTTTAGGTTACTCCATAAAAGTAAACTATTTATTAAATGAGATTTTATAACTTGTATCTTTAAAATATAAGTTAAATCTCATTAATTATAATATTTACAATTAATTTTATATAAATTTTCTTATAAGATTTAAATAAAATATAATCTAAAATATAAGAATATAATATAATATTTAAACTCAAAATTTATAAAAACTTATAAATTAAATATAAAAATTTATATAAAATTAATTAAAAATATCTAAATTAATAAATCTTAATTGTGTTCTAAGAATATAAATTAGATAAATTGTTATTAAATAATTAATATTTATTGTGTAATTTATCATCTATATGTGTGTGTATATATATATCAAAAGGAAAATTCAAAAAAAAATTAGGGTTTTTGTTGCAGGGATAGTTCGGGGAAATTGGTTGAGACTGATTTAGAGAGCTGACCAGGCAGTCAGTTTTAGATGCGATGCAAAGGAATATTGAAGGAATTGTAGTTGCTCATGGAATGGCAGTTCAAGATTATTCGGGCCCTCACAACCTAACCAAATATTTTAATCAATTTTTTTCTTAAAATCAAATGCTGCTTTTGCTGACCACTACCTATGTACTCCCCCAAATGTTTACTGAAACTTTAGCAGAACCATTAGTAACAAATAATTAATTCACCCAAAAGCTTACATTTAGAAAAAAAAATTACACTTATTTTTTCTTCTTCACGTAATTCTTTTGCTTTATCTGGGATCCACATCTATAGAGAGATAATTTATACATAACAACTGCTTTCTGGTGTCAAAAAGGAAGCCATCTCGTGGCAAAACAACACCAAATATTTCCATAAAAAAAAGAAAAAAGAAAAAGAAAAAGACAAAATATCCTTTTCAATTCGAGTGACGTGTCACGATCACACACTGGAGTAGTACATGAGGATATAAAAAGGATCATAATGGATAGAGTCTGCCAGTGTGGACAAG